TCAGAAATGTTTCGTTTATTACCGTATGTTTCTGGCCTCGAAAATTGACCGGGAAGCCGCCCGCGAAATTTTCCAGGTCCCGCTTTTTTTAATTCGACAATAACATAATCGAAATTAAATACGGATTCTGTTATAGAACACTTTGACATATTTTCAGGAAATCCATCACTGATTCAAGAAGTTCAGAATTGGAAATGTTAGAATAGTTGGAGTACATTTTTTAAAAAGTTTTTTTTACTTCAGCAATTGTGGATTCTTCAGTAACAATTCTACACTATATTTTCCAAACATAAGATTAAACCTATAATAAAAGGCCTCGTGTATACTTTGAGACAATTCGAAACTAGTGAACTTCTTGAATCGAATGTAAAAGAAGAGACAATCAAAATAAAAATTAATATCAAAAATATTTATTGTCATTGAAAGGAGTTTGACTTCAACTGAAGTACATAATTTGACATCCGAAACGGACTAATCGAGTGACAAGAAAAGTTGGGCGGTGAAAGAAATGAACTATATAAACCGTATGCACATGACACGTAAATTTGTTATAGGAGATCTACATTCTTTCTGGTACAAGAGCTCCAAGGCAAGGGGCGACGTAGTCAGGAACCATATCGTCGCGTTCATTCATCTGATTCTCAATGATATCTTCAATTTGATGGCATCCAGACAACACCAATAGTGTCTTCATTCCATGATCTCTTCCGAATTTCACATCAGTGTTGGTTCTGAAAAATGAAAAAGGATAATTTGAAAAAAATTAGAGAATGAAATAATTTACCTGTCACCAATCATCATAGTTCTAGAAGGATTGATATTCCATTTTCTTTTGATATAATTGAATGCTGGAGTACATGGTTTTCCAACTGTTAATGGATCTCTTCCAGATGCGCATCTGATTGCAGCCACAATTGGTCCAGCATCAGGAATAACGACTTCTGGATTTGGTCCCGGGCATGTTTCATCTTCGTTTGTGGCCACGAACAGGACACCTTCTTCTCTCAAGTAATTGGCAGCCTTCATCATTTTTGTATAGTCGAAATGTTTTTCGTATCCAACAACAACTGCTCCAACATTCTCCTCCAATTTGATATCATACATAAATGCACCACTTCCTGCTTCTTCATTTTGTTTCTTTTCTGGTCCATGTCCAAAATATTCGATGCCCAACTCATCCATTTCATCGCGAAGTCCTTGTTCTCCAATCAAATAAACTCGTTTTCCATCCAATCCAGATCTGTGCAATGTATCGGCAACTACTGCAGCGGGATTCACCAAATTGTTCTTGTTCATTTTGGATGAATTGTATCCGAGTTTTGCCAATTTCTTCGCATAAACGGCACGCGATTTAGTCGCATTGTTGGTGAGCACAATGATTTGTTTATTGTGTTTTACCAGATAGTCAATGAGACGAGGAGATCCTGGCATCACTGATTCACCCAACCACAGAACACCTGAAAGCATTTGGACTTTGTAATTTATAATTTCTATATATGGGCACTTACCATCAGCGTCGAAAATGAACGTGTCAATGTTCTTGATCACTTTTGCAAAAGAGTCTGGGCAAAGTGGTTTGGTGGATCGGCATTTTGGATCGAGACCGGCCTTGACTGGATGATCATGCTCACGGAAGAGCTGTTGGGTGTCGATAAGAGTTGGGTATTTCATTTTCTGAAAATGTATTTTTAGTAAGAAGGACTTGAAAGTAAGAAGGAAGTGATGATGGTGAACCACTTTGCAGCCGACTCTTTTATACTAGTCGATGGGCGGAGTCAGGGTGAAGAGCAAGAAGAGGGCGGGCGCTCAATAGAAGACGCAGACGATCAGTGATATATCTGTATCTTTGAAGATGTTCCTGCTGGGAAGAAGGGGGAACATGTATTGTTCACGTGTACCGATAGGGAAAAGAAGATGTTGGATGGGTGGTGTTACGGTAGTATGAAACAGAGGAAGGAGACGCCGTCAAAGTACAAGGATAGCTATTTTTAGAACAGGAAAAGTCATTTTGAGATCAAAAAAGGACATGGAATGAATACGTAGATCAGAATTGGTTGAAGGAAATAATTAGAAGGATTGCCTTCGGAAACTACCGTAGACCCTGTAATAGACCCCCGAGGCGTGTCAAATTTGAGCTTATTTAACTTATCTTCTATGCAAGATATCAAATTGTAGTCAACTGACAAAACAATTCTGATAATTTGATTACATTTAAAAAATGATTCTGATTGTGCTTATTGTAAATGCTGGATTTTATTCGAAGTTCTTCTGAATAATGCTCACCAACTTCAAGAAAATCTGAAAAACTAGGTCTAGAATACTGTAAAACCTTGTCCCTCAATTTTCAAACTAGAAATTACTCTTCTTCGTCCCCCTCCCGATCAAAGTATCCAGTTTGATTTTTTCGTCTTTTTTCCCAGAAAAAGTCGTGATTTTAATCGCTTTCTCCGACAGCCTGCATCATCATCACTACTCTTATCTTTTTTTATAATTTTAAAAAGTCATTCCGACATTCGCTATTTTAATCGGGTCACATGATTTTTACGTTTTTGGAAAAAGGCTCAGAAAAACTGAACATTGGTCTGATGGAATAGGAGAATTTCAAGCGGAGCATTGTTTCGGAAAAAAAAAACTTACTTCTTTTTTCCCAAAACTAGGAGGTTTATTATTTTCAGAAACCGTAACATGGACGGTGTTACATATTTTCAGCATATTTTCAGTGCTTAAATTTATTTTGGGTAACATATTGTTGTTCGTTCTTTACCGAATTCAGCATAGGTTCCCGAAAATACCGTAAGCATAGAGCGCCACACCTAACTTTCAACTTCGAGCTCTTATATATCGGTTCCTGTGTAAGATATCAAAAAGTGGCCAACTGACAAACTTTTAACATGATATCAAAAATATTTTGTCAATTAACCACTTTTTGATATCTTTGTTAGGAACCGAGATATAGGGGCTCGAAGTTGAAAGTTAGAGGTGACACTCTATTAGAGTTTTCACGGTATATTTCAAGCCTCCTGAAAATCTTTGAATCTTCCTGGGCCACTAACAATAAGCTTCCTCTAGCTCATACAAAGACTTCTCTTCTACGCCTTGGTTCAAGAAACAAGCACGCTCCCCTCTTCATCTCCTCCTCAGCTATTGATTCTGCAGACAATATTCGTGATCTAGGACTTATTACCGACTCCAAACTTAAGTTCACCCAACACATAAACAAATCGGTTGCTGTTTCACTTCTCCGATCCAAACAACTTTTGAAACCTTTCAAATCCACCAACCCCCTCTTTCTACCTTCACTTATTCAGAACCTACGTACTCCCCTTCTTGAGTACTGTTCAGTAATTTATTCTCCTCCCCCCAATTCCAAACTCTCTCAAAAACTCGAATCCCTACTCCGTTTCTTCACCCGTAAGTCTTCCAGAAATGCAATATCTCATACTCTTCTTATCAAGATCGTCTCTCCCAACTTGACCTCTTCTCTATCAGACATCGTAGACTCAAATCTAAACTTATGCTTCTTTACAAAATGATTAGTGACGCCTCTTATATGCCAGAATTATCCTCTTTCTTAAGAATTTCCGACTGTCCTAGGAGACCTATGACCCATATTCTCTCAGATAAATGTTCCGATGACTTCTTTTTCACCACCGCCCCTATTTGGAATGCAATTGTAAGGAATACTCCCCAATTTTTAACTCCCGGTCAATTTTCTACCTTAATCCAATCTTCCATCACCCGGTTTTAGTTTTCTGCTCACTTTTTCCCTTTTTTTAATTTCTTGCCAACCTTACATGTTTACCATTTTCTTCCCCATTCTCTAGGTTCATCTCGTTAGGGATTTTTATCTAGAACTCGCGTTATAACTTTTGTGCCATATTTTCTTCTGATCAATAAATTATAAATTATAATTATAATTCTCAGTGAGTTCTCACTGTATATTTTGTACTCATTTACAAGTACCCTAACTCAAAAACATTTCCCTTTCCTTCATTTCCTCTTTCAGATTTTCAAAAAACCGTACAAAATAGTAAACATCACAATTTTCTGACCACCATCAAACCTACGAAACCATTGAACAGTTGGACAACCTCGTCTCGTGGGTTAAAAAAAGTCAATGGTTGTCCAATTCTCTTTGAAGAACCAATGAAACGCATGTGAACAACACATGAGTCTTCTTTAAAAATTGAGTCTGGCGCGGCGTCTTCCCCTTCAATCGGCGCCCATCTTGTACATCATCACACATCGCGAAAAGTCTGCGTCTCGTTATCATTAATCAGTATCTTTATTTAAAGAGCGTCGTCGTTACACGAGGGGGGAATTCCTCTGGCATGTCTGCAGTCTCTTGTTCTCTAATTGACCCGCTTATCTTCCCGTTTCTTTAAAGATTGTCCATATGGAAACAGTGTAGAAGATGAAGAGAACAGGGAGTAGACACATCTTTTGCAGAAAAAAGAATTGAGAGGGAATCGTCACGTTAGCATGATCTTTTGAGACTAATCGAATGAAAATGGATGTATGTGGATACTGTAACCGTTTGATAAGGATAAAGATGTAATTGATACATCATTCTGAACGACAACAACTTTTGAAGATTGTGAAGGGAAAGGAGAACGTGTTTAGTGGTTTAGCGGTTTACATTCTATGTATAGAATACGAAGGAAAATGGAGACAAAGCTGGAACACTACAATCACTCTCAGTGATCTTTACAACTGGTCTCAGCTATAGTTTCGAGTCCGGGTTACGGTAGTAAAAAAGGATCCAAACACAGCAACCCCCTTAAAGAATTTCGCCAATTTTTCCCATTTCGATTTTTCTGAAAAAAAACGGAGCAGAAGGGTTTTAGACTTCGAGAACAAACAATTTTTGAGAATTCGAAAACCAACAATGGACACCACTACAATAATCTTGAGCTTGACTCTCATTTTAGATCAACAATTGCAATTTACTGCAACTTTATGTTCTTGATTCTGAATATTTTAAGCCGTTTAGATCTAAAACTCCTCATTTCATATATAAGCCCCACCCGAACGAATTCTTCACAGTACAAAGTGCAATCCAAAACAGATCTTTGTTTCATATTCTAATCGCGTCTCTTCTTTGCTCGGCCTAATTACGTCTGCGTCTCTTCTCGCTTTATTACAGTACCTGGTCAAAGATCATGACGTAGCAGGACCGAATTTCGGATCATTTTCGGACAAGGCCTGATTGTTATCTCCTTGATGGACTAGAACAAGTGGGACGGAGGCCTAGGAAAAGACAAAGAACAATCTGGAAGAGAAATAAGTGAACAAAGATCAACGGGTTGTATGGGACTACCAATCTGACAACGTCCCTCAATGAAGAAACTATGAGAGAAATGGGCAGCTCTAGAAAACTTGTAACTAAATTAATCGGAAAACCCGGAGATGTTCGGAATTTCGAAAGTTTTCGGAATCTCGAAAATTCAGATTTTCAAAATTGTGGAATTTTGGAAGTTCTCATCACAAAAGCCCAAAAATTGACATGAAGATGCTGGAAACGCGATAAAAATAAGTTCGTTTGAAACCAGAAAGGAAACTTTTCTCAGAATTTTTTGAATTTTGGGATTTTCGTTTCGAACATCTCAGAGGAATACTGTCACATATGTTAGAAGTCCGGCAAAAGCTACGCGAAAATTGTAACAAAAATATTTCTCTGCATAATTGTGGCACAATTTTCGTACAATTTTGGGCAACATTTGGACACATCTGTGTCATGTTACAAGAAAAATGAACAAACTTCGGACATGCTGCTCAGCAATGTCCCACTGATTGGACAGAAGCGCCATTCACATGGATATCAGATAATTTGCTGTAGAGGACATTTCAGATTTCAGATTGTCTTGAAATTTTAGAACTAATACACACTCTTGATGACCCATTTCAAGAAATCAACCCAAAGTGTTTCTTTCAATCTTCTTTGAGTTGAAAAACAGATCAGTGACCGACTAGGAAACTTGTTTTGAACAGTGAGAACTACATCTACAAACCAAAAAAGCATTCTTGATCAGAACATCAAAACATTGAACAAACAATCCGCGGATTGTTGACGATGTTCCCTGGAAATCAGGCATTATCTAGAATAACGATTTCGGATTCAAAGATTATTTTCAGATTTTCAGATTTTCAGTAGTTCATCGTTCACACAGACACTTTGAAACTTGTTTTTCTATTTTAACAGTCAATTAGATTTTTCGATAAGAAGTACTGTTTTACAAAATGTACTATCATCAATTGAAAGTTAACTTTGTATACTTTGAACCATCATCTGGTGTTCGAATTTCAAAAGTTGTTTTGTTTGTTGATTTAATGAGAAAAATAGTACGAATTGTCAGTGATTACACTGATAAAGCATCAGCACAATAGCAAGGAGGAAATGAGGCTCACCTGCAAGAGATCTTTGAACAAAAACGTAAAATTGAGAGATGTTGATGAACGCATTTCGAAAGAACGGGCTGAAATGATTTTGGTTATGAGTTTAGAAATAAGTGGAAAACATATTTTTAAACTCTGGAGTTGAATTTCAGATTCATTGTTATTAGTCTATAAAAGTGGAACAGGGGAGAAAGTGAGAAGGAACATTTTAGACACAGCAAAAAGATTGATTTCTGTTTTAAAAACAAGAAATTTGTATTGCAACTTATAGTGAGTACTTCAACTTTTTTGTACTCAATTGTCGATGCTTGTTTGGAAACGATAACAAAACGAAAATCAATAAGCACGCGGATTCCCTTTACACTATGGGGATGACGCAGAATCCAAGCGAACGGGAGAGCAACTGTCTGTTTCGGTGGAACTACAATGAAAAGTTTCAAAGAAATTGAATTATCATGTGAATTTGTTTAATAGTTATTCTTACATGAACAGCAAAAGTTAAACAGACCCTTGAAGGTAAAAACAATCGGGCCAAATTTAAAGATTTGACTTCTTATACCGTAAAACCTGTAATAGAAGGTCCTCTACACCGTCAACTTTGAACCCAAATATCTCATTGAAAGATATCCAAATGCTGCCAACTGATAAAAGTTTAAAATACCATACAAAACGTTTTGTCAGTTTACAACTTTTCTATATCTTCGACAGGAAAACAGAAAAACTGGCTCAAAGCAAAAAGTTAGGGTCCTTATATTACAGGTATTACGGTAGTTAGGTTTTAACTTAAACTTATGCTATGATGTAAATCAAATCCATCGTAAATCTTGTATTTTTGCCTCTGGAATAGAAGATCTTTCATCAAAATGCCTTGTTTGGAATTAAAATTTTCCATACGTTTTCAGTGAAAAATATTCCGGAAATTCCACAATTTCTCAGAAATCTATTCAAACTCAACTTTTTTGGAAACTAGCTCAACTTTGGTAAAATTAATAGATTTTAAAGAATTTTGAACGAGAATACAATTTTCGCTCTAATCGAAGGGCCCTCTGCAGATACCTTGGAATAATAGAAGTGCCGATACTTTCAATACAGGTTTTACGGTATATGTCCGACACAGCGATTCAGTTCGAGAGATGAAACCTCCTCGTTTGTTCCAGATTTACTCCACCATTGATTTTTCAAATCAAACAAAAATTTTTGAGTTTCAAGGTTCCTCTCACCAAACTTTTAAAGCTTTTCCTTTTTTCACTGTAAGAATCTAGTTATTTTTCCTGATCTCTAAACATCGAACTAATTTAATTCCTTGTTCTTTTCACACCAGTGTAAGAATTTTCAGATCAACAAGGGATGCCCTTCTGAAAGTGTTCATTGTTCACGTGAACATCTTTAAAGTGTTCCTTCATCTATTTTTAGTCTCATCCTACGAAGGGAAAGAACAAGAACTTCTCTTCTCTCGTTTCTCTCCTCTCTCTCCTCTCATCTCATCGCTATCATCATCTTCATTGGTCTATGACGTCTTGATACTGCCCTTTCTCTTTCGTTTTCTGCTCTGATCATTAGGCTCCGCCCATTTCTCTATACCACAATATACCATATTCGCAGGTATAAAAGGCATCCGGAGAGGAGTGAAAAGTATCACTTGTTGATTCTTGGAAATACAACTCTTCTAATCGTTCACAATGAAGCTGAAGATCAGTTCCCCACTCCCTTCTCCAGTTGGTTCTGATTCTGAAAATGAGATCCCAAAGGATTTCCCACAAACTCGTATTCATTCCGGATTAGATCCAAACTGTAGATCTACTATTCCTTTGTGCCCAAAATCATTTTCAAAGGTCATGAAAAGCATTGATACCTTCATTTTCGACGCTGATGGTAAGTTCCCATATATAGAAATTATAAATTACAAAGTCCAAATGCTTTCAGGTGTTCTGTGGTTGGGTGAATCAGTGATGCCAGGATCTCCTCGTCTCATTGACTATCTGGTAAAACACATAAACAAATCATTGTGCTCACCAACAATGCCACTAAATCGCGTGCCGTTTATGCGAAGAAATTGGCAAAACTCGGATACAATTCATCCAAAATGAACAAGAACAATTTGGTGAATCCCGCTGCAGTAGTTGCCGATACATTGCACAGATCTGGATTGGATGGAAAACGAGTTTATTTGATTGGAGAACAAGGACTTCGTGATGAAATGGATGAGTTGGGCATCGAATATTTTGGACATGGACCAGAAAAGAAACAAAATGAAGAAGCGGGAAGTGGTGCATTTATGTATGATATCAAATTGGAGGAGAATGTTGGAGCAGTTGTTGTTGGATACGAAAAACATTTCGACTATACAAAAATGATGAAGGCTGCCAATTACTTGAGAGAAGAAGGTGTCCTGTTCGTGGCCACAAACGAAGATGAAACATGCCCGGGACCAAATCCAGAAGTCGTTATTCCTGATGCTGGACCAATTGTGGCTGCAATCAGATGCGCATCTGGAAGAGATCCATTAACAGTTGGAAAACCATGTACTCCAGCATTCAATTATATCAAAAGAAAATGGAATATCAATCCTTCTAGAACTATGATGATTGGTGACAGGTAAATTATTTCATTCTCTAATTTTTTCAAATTATCCTTTTTCATTTTTCAGAACCAACACTGATGTGAAATTCGGAAGAGATCATGGAATGAAGACACTATTGGTGTTGTCTGGATGCCATCAAATTGAAGATATCATTGAGAATCAGATGAATGAACGCGACGATATGGTTCCGGACTACGTCGCCCCTTGCCTTGGAGCTCTTGTTCCAAAAACCAATCAAATCTATTATTAATTTTGAAATCCTTCACATTCAATTCTACGAGTAATTGTTTATCACTTGCGAATAACATGACATGTTCGATGATCGAGCCAATTGTATATAATAAACTCCTTGTCCAATATTATGTGAACTCATATTTTAAAGAACAGTTTTACAACGACGCATCTGACCACTAAATGAATAGCGTTTAGAAACTATTCAATGATCAATATTCTGAAAAAAAACATATGAAAATCGCAAAAGATTTATCATTGTTGAGGACATGATGAATAATTATTTTCAAAAAGTTGATGATAATAGAGGAAGCACTAGTGTTTATGTATATTTGATAGAGATTGGTAGTCAACGAAATCGATGCTATTCGGAAACATTTTGAAGCGTTGTCAAGTAGTTACGTCCGTCTTTATCCAAAACTTTCTTCATTGTCTGGCGAATGGCATAATCGGCTTCAATAAACGAATCCTTTTTGTGTGGGAATCGTCGTGCAATCGAAATTAGCGATGTAACGATTGGTGTAAAGAACTCCTGGTTTTGGCAGTGTTTGCACATCAGAAGAACCAATCTGGGAGACAATTTTTGAAGAAGTGGACGAATAATTGGGTTTGAAGTCTCTTCGGGAACGTTCAACAGAGATTTTTGAAGAATTTTGAGCAATGGAGATAGAATGCTGGTGTAGGCGAATCCCTGGTCGGCTACAGCGAGAATCTCGTAAATTGGCTTTATTCCGTTCAGCTCAATAACAAATGTGTCAAGAAGTGATGGAACTAAATTTGTGAGACGGTCTGAAAATTACAGGATCAGAATAGGATTAAAAGAAAAGTAGTTTACCAATGACGGTAGCCGCGAGGAGAACGATGTGTAGATTGTCGTGGATTAGTCGACGAGTGCATTTCCGAAGTCTGAAATATTACAAAGGTTGTTTCATACTATACAATCGTATTTACTTTCTCTCGGCAGAACTGTTGCCTTTCGTTTCGTCCTTTTGACTATTATCCTCGTCCAATTGCTCGTTTTCTTGAGCCAGTATCATATTGTAGGCTACCATTTTTTCGCGCCAATCTCGAATCTCTGTTGCAAATCGACGTCTTGCCAGGAATCCACGCACCACTTTTTGGATCGTAACAGCTGATTTACGCTGCTTTGTTTGTAGCTCTTCTAAAGCCTTTTTTGCCAATTTTTCAGCGTCATCATCGTTGTTGAGTTTCTCAAAAATTCCTGTCGGTGATGTGGAACGGAGTAAATCCGCACTTCTTTCTAGCTGATCCAAGCTTCCAGAAACGCTGTCATGCTGAATTACGGCGTTATCGAGCCCAGCATCTGGTCTATCATTTACATCGTTTTCATTCATATGGATTTCATCTGTTGTAGAATATTCGATGAATGCGTTTTCCTTTTCTGCTAACGCTTTTCTCTCAATGGCGCCCAATCGTTTTGCCTGCAACTTTTCATTGGGATTATTGAATTCTACTCACTTTTGCTACTTACAACTTCTTCTTGCTTTCGTTTCAGCTCTCGTGTCTCTCGAAGAATCTTCCTCAATTCAGGTGTGCTCGCCGTGTCGCTTTGATCCGGGATCACCAGATTCAACTGATTGTTTAGAACGTAGCGTTTCTGATTTTCAATCATCTCGCGGAACATTGCTTCGCTTTTCTTTTGCTCCTCTGTCATCTCGTAGTCCACGAGGGATGATGATGTACTTTGGGAAGAAGTCGGCTGGGTATGATCCATTGGGAGAGTAGCGGGAACATTCTCTTGAGGCTCGATGTTTGCTTCGGTGCTCACTTCATCAGCAACTATATCGTTTTCAAGTACTTCCGGTGTGAAATCATTTTTTAAAACGTTGACATCTTCAGGAGAGATTTCTACAGGACCATGTGCATTTTCGTGATCTTCCGATGCCTCTTCATTATTTTTATCTGGAGTTATCGATTCAGAAGAAGCTTCGAGGTCTTCAATGACTTCTTCACAGTCCGCATTTTGAACGTCATCAGAAGAAATGTTCAAAGTTTCAATGCCTTTCCCATCAATTTCTGGTGATTCTCCGGCATACACTTCTTCTGAATTATGAACACGTACCGAAGCAACTGTATGAATTTCTCGAGAATAACTCGTTTCTTCACATTCAATAATTCCTGCATTCTCTTCTTGGAACACCGTAGTCTTTTGTTGAGTTGTAAGTAAATCAACGCGGAATCTCTTTTTCAGAGTGCTCGGTACCACCGTCTCGTCATTTTCGGATCCTTCCTCTTCCTCAATAACTTCATTAAGATGCTTTGATATGGTATGACGAGTGAATGTTCCACGTAAAGGCGTTTTTGGTTGTTTGAAGCAGTTCGAAAGGGTATCAATCTCTGGATACTGTAATGAATCTCTGGATAATGTAAAAGTAGCGTCGTTCAGTGTGGAATTCATCGACCGGGGAGTGCATGGCAGTTGCGACAACGATGGTCTTTCCGTAAGAATCCCTGGTGTGTTTTGAATCACAAATGTGGCATTATCAATGGTGGTAGCTGGAGAAATGCATCGTTGCTGACGATGGTTAACGAGCACTTGTTGAACGATGAAGAAGAGCTTCGGTATATTCTGAAAATCAACGCTATTTTATGCATTTGACGACAATCCTCACCTTTCTCTCCAAATATAGCTTCCACTGTTTCTGAATGATTGCTGCTTTTTCATGATACATTTTAACAGTTTGCATGCGGTCTAGGAACATCTTCACGAAAAGTGCTATGCTTTGATCTAGCCCACGATTAATTCCTAATTCCAATTCGGCCATCGACACTACCTTCTCCCAAAGAGAATCGCCAGAATACGCACTAATTGGTGTTGCGTTTGGTATGCACGATTTCCAAATTTTATCCAAAAGGATACCGTCGGTTAACGAATCCAAATCCAACACTTCCTGCTCCAGTTGCCTTCCGTATAACTTGCACGTCTTCAATACATCGGAGGACATGTTATCATGTACAGCAGAACGCCGCTTCTTTTTCGGTGTCTCGTCAACAGCTCTGGAAATCTTCACTCGTTTCTCTCTGGCTACTCGAACGCCAACAATCGACCAGAGAATAGCCAAGATTGCGTCTTTCGTTCCACCAACAATCGCTGTCGGTGTCACATCTTCAGTGGGAATTCCGATAGATGTCATTTCTTGAAGTACGATTTTTACGTTGTTGATCTTCCGAATACGGTCACCAGCGGGATCACGGAGCTTTAGGAGTAGTTCGCCGTGCGGTAACTCTCCCACAGACTCAATGAGCTTTGCCAAGATGATTCCATCAGAGTAATCTGCGAATCCTTTGGCTTGATAGTCGTAATTATCGAAGAAAGACTGTTTGTATGATGGAGTGAATCCAATTTTGGCAAAAGCCTTTTTAAATGTCAGCGAGCTTCCAGTAAGCAACTCTTTCGTGAGTCCACTGAACATATCATCCAAACATTTGTATTGAGAAGATTTAGTGAAAATTCTTGTCAGATTTGGAATCACTCGATGCGCATTTGCCGTCTCAATCAAAAACATCAGCTTCATTGTGGTTTCAAGAAAATGACGATGAAGAGCCTCCCTGCCTTGTTTGGTGATGATTGGCTTGCCAGATCCTTGAGCAAACTTTTTGTTCTTGAGCATGCTTGGATTCGAAAATACGCGTTCGATGAAAAACTGGGACAATGCACGAATCATGTACTTCGGTTGGGCATCGATTCGAGCTCCGAAAATCGCTTCTATTGTCACTTTGAGCCAAGCGGGGTGAAAGCAGAGGAACGTGCGAAGAAGATTTGTCTGGAGAGCTGAAAAAAACATTTTATTCCGTTTCAAAAAACATATCACTTACCTAAATCGTTAAACACCGAATGCTCATTCCTTATTGTGATTTGATTTTTCGATAGCATATCTCTGATGCTTTCCTCAATCCCCGAATCGTCCAGCAGTTTTTTACACTTTTTTCTCATCACATCCGGGTCATTTTTCTCAAAAATTCGCTGATATCTTTGTCGAGCGGCCTGATGAACTCTATCCGCCTCCGATGCCTCATTTTTTCTACCCAACATTTTCTGAATTCGACGACATGCTTCAGCGGCAGTCGCGCCTAAATCTAACTCCTCCGTACTATCTAGCCCGATCATTGTGTTGGTCCATGTGGCAAGTGCTACCATTTGCTTCTCCGCTTTTTCGTCGAATGAAAGGATCGGCGATGAAGAACATGGAGTGGAAATTGTGTAATTTGATGGTGGATTGACGGGAGTTTTCAGATTGATGGAGGTGGGACTGGATTCCAAAAACGCCTTTTCCGTGGCTCGAAGATCGATTTTCTTGGTGGTTTCCTTGGCAGCCGCAGCTTCAAGCGTGCGTTTTTCTGAAATGATACAATATACTATTTTCTCAGACCACCTAGTGAAAACGCCAACCGTTTCGGCTTGCCAACCGTTGCAACATTGCCTCTCGTTTTCTTTCTATAGTTGAGTCCATTGCTGAACTGAAAATGTTCACCGTTTTAAAAGATAATCAAGGAAAAAACAAAATCAGCAGAACACATATAGCTTATATGCGTCGACGAGAAAAACAATATATACGGAAGAAAAAAAATAAACGATAGAGTGAATCAAAAAGAGACTAAACAAAGGAATAGTCGATCGAGAAGTTGTCTCTGGGTCAAAAGCCTAATGCATATATTGTTCTTATCAAAGCAGAGAAATATTTAAAAGAAGGGAACTCGACACAGTTTCAGCCAAAAAAAACTAATTTTCGTCAAGTTTAAAATTTCTAATTTGGCGCTACGTTTTTTCGCAGTGGGGCGCGCTGACTCAGCTTGGCCGCGGCCGCAAAATGAGAAATCTCTGCCAAAACAAAGAATTTTTCAATGCCCCTCGAAAAGTGTTCATATTTTCATGAAAATTGAATCATGAAACAATAAAAGAAGCACATTACTACAATTATTATTTTCTAGCTAAAAAATATGAACATTGAAGCTCTCCTTTATCGTTCATTAGGCATAGTCAGCAAAGAATTTAATGAATATTGTCGAAAGAAAATATTCTCAGCCTGTTTCTGCGATGGTTAAAGTGAATATAATTATTTATTGTATACGAACAAAATAAGAAAAATATCATAGAATACTTTCTCTGTTATTGGCTGGAGATGTTGCTGTATCAGGGCCAACTGAAGCCACATTTAGCATAGCTAGAACTTTTACGGCATTGTTGAAAATGATCTCTGAAATCACTAAATCAGAACGTTGAATCAAAAATGTGCCAACTTTTTGTTGCTAGTTTGTAATCAGACACAACACAGAATAATATCAAACTGTCGAGAAGTGGATAAATACTGAAAAAATAGACAACCACACGAGTTCGGAAACTGAATTTCATGTCAAAAAATGGAGCAAAAAAGAGGGGAACAGCAGGAAGATGGACCAGAAGAGATGGGGCTGTGAGCTGGAAATTTCCAATTTATATACCCTTATTTAATAATTTATGTATATTCACCTGATAAACCAATGCTTTGAAAAATTGCTTCTGAATCTGACTGTTTGCAGTTATAGTTGTTGCCTTTTTGAATTCCGCAGTGATTTTTTGATATAAGACTACCCCACAAATCATCATTATTGCATACTGTAGTGTCATGATTCCCATGTCTCCGAAAATACAAATCAGACTTTGAAACCTCACAAATTTTATACGGCAGAATAGATTGCTGGAATATATGACAGTCAACAAAAATTGATGGAGGTTATCAAACCTAGAAGAACTTCGGTTATCTCTTTCGAAGACCGAAATAATCCTTGGAGACTAAAATATAGAAAACATCCGTTATATGAGTGCATTATCTGGGGAAACAAACGATATTTATTCGGGTACAAAACAGTTACTGTCTATATTCTCATGCCATCGTTGACTCTCAACAACAAAAAAGTCTTCAATTGAAGTTAAGCAATGAAAAACAAAAAGCTATAGTTGGGGATCTATTTACATGGATGTATGCTTTCGCAGTACAGTTTTTTAGGAAAACTGATCTTTCAAAAAGTCTAATACATAGGTTCTTGTGTAATTTTGAAAAATATGCGAATTTTTTGTGAGCATAATGATGGGTTTTCAGTGAAAATTATGAATCAATAAAAAACCATGTAATCAGTTTGTTAGATAACTTTGAGCTGATATATCTCATTTCCAGTAGAAAATATCTAAAAGTGGTTCACTGACAAAATATTTGTGATATTATGATGAACATTTTATGAGTTGACCACTTTTTGATATCTTTGACAGGAACCGATATATTCTAGCTTGAAGTTGAAAGTTTAAGGGGGGGGGGGGGGGTTTAGAGCAGGGTTGCAATCTGACGGGCTGGCCGGCGGGCCGGCCCGAGGGAAAAAAACCAGGGCCCGGCCCGGCCCGGCCGGCCGGCAATTAATTAATATTTGAACGCAATTAATTAATATTTGAAATTAATTAATATTTGAAATTAATTAATATTTGAATTAATTAATATTTGAACTATTAGCCTCCGTTGTTCGTCAAACTCCGTCCATTTGTGAAACATTGACAAAACTTCCCACCCTCTCGTGTGAGACTAGATGGATGACAAATATCAAATGTTTATGGGACATCGATAGCTGTCTGCAAGTAGTTCAGAATTCGAGTAAATTATCGATGAGAGGAAGACAAGCTCTCAATAAACTTGTGGAGTAGTCTGCGACTGTGAAGGCAATCTTGAAGTTTTTCGAAACACTATTGGAATATAATACTTTGTTCCAAATGAGAAAGTCTGAGCTACGAATAAGAAAAAACCAAAGCATCTTCCAGACACAGTCCGCCTTCATTTATACGGTTTTTACATTGTTATGCTACTTGTTAAGAAATAAATTCAAATAATTCTTCAATAATTTCTGTTTTTTCTTAAATTCGAACGGGCCGAACCGGCCGAACCGGCCGGGCCGGGCCGGAGAAAAAATAATCTCGGCCCGGCCCGGCCCGGCCCGGCCGGTTGCAACCCTGGTTTAGAGTGTTTACGGTATTAGGCGCTTGGTTTAGGGTTGTTCAAAATTAACCTTTTAGGATTAAAAATAGGCATAAAATGATGTATCCTGATATTAGGATGATGTCTGTTTTCCAAACTTTGAATCTCAAGTTTTCCGACGTCATTTTTCACAAAAAAAATATCATAATTTTTTCCCTTCCAGATGTACATAATTATGATTTTAAAAAACGTCGATAGTGACCTATAGTGCAGACTAACCCAAATTTAAAAACTCACCGGTCTCACTACAATGTCCAATGTAGAGAATCCGATACCAAGAGCAGCAAAACCCATGATCATATGTCGATAAGTGGTTGAAATCCGTTTTGTATGGACCGCCGTTAGATAAATCAAAATTGAATTAAACAGCAAAGTCAAAATGTAAGCGGAATATGATACGAATTCAGCTACATCCACCTCCATGTTCTCTTTCCTTGTGAACAAAAACAAAAATGTGTTTAATATAGATTTTCAGAACATGTCCCCTGATACATTACTTCCCTCCGCCCACTTCTATTCATCTGCCAAAGTTCATAACTGTATACTTCGAACAAAAAGAGGTTAATTATTATGATAGCAACCAGGAATCTAATTTAGAAAAGGGGACCGATGACATCCTGTGTATTATATACAAAGATACATCCGGTTATGTCATAATATTTGTAGAAGATCTAAACCAATCTTACAAAGATTGTTTTCTCCAAATAATATACTACACTGCTCCACATTATCATTGCTACACATAGCTACATAGCTTTATAGCTACACCAGTCACCTGCTTGCCGCGCCTCCGGCGCTTCAAACAGCTAGTGCGCCTTCGGCGCGATCTAACCTAGTTTTCACTTGTTCTTTGCTTCGCTTCTCCCTCTCACTTAAAAGGTCCCGTCAATTTATATTTAGTTTTCAAGCTTTTTGGAAAAGTGCGGACAGACCTACAAGGAAAGAGACGCAACTTCTTTTATTTATTACAAGAATGATGATAAGAATAGATATACAGAATTACAATCTAGATTTCAACTCAATCTTCGCAATTGTCTCTAGATGTACCGCATCTGGTCCATCAGCCACTCGAAGGGATCGTGCCCAAACATAGAAACTTGCTAACGGAGTAAAAGGAGTGAGACCACGAGCTCCCTGTTGTTGCATTGCCCGATCGATCACATTGATTGCCATATTTGGAGCAACCACTTTGATCATAGCGATTTCGGATTTCGCCTCCTGAAACTTGTATTTCTAACTTCAAATGATTCGAATAAATCTTTTTAAATGGTATGATTTCTTCATGTTCATACAACTCACCTTTGGCCCAACGGTATCAATCATATGAGCTGCCTTTAAAATTAATAACCTCGCCTGCTCGACTTCACATCTGGACAATGCCAATTCCTTTCTCAAACTATCGAATTGAACTAACGTTCTTTCAAATGCAATTCGTGTCATCAGCTATAAAATATTTTCTATTGAATTAAATCATGTTTAATGACTTACTCTATCTTTCATGACGTCGATCGCTCGTTCAGCATGGCCAATCAACCTCATTGCATGTGAATTCTTCCTGGTCCAAGTCTTCCTTGAGCTATCTCGAAACCTCTTCCTTCACCCAAAAGCATGTTCTCAACTGGAACGCGAACGTTTGTGAATGTGATTTCAGGATGGGCGCCAGGAGCATCTTGGGATCCGAATACATGAGTGTTTCTGACAATTTTTACTCCTTCAGTTTGCATGGGGACTAGAATCATTGATTGCTGGAAGATTCTCGATTTCTTTGGTCCAGCTACTTGTCCCATGAAAACACAAATTCGACATTTCGGATGAGATGCATTTGAAATGAACCATTTACGGGCATTGATTATATACTCACCCCCTACACGGACAATCGAACCCTAAAAACACTTGAACAATAACTGAAAAAAAAACATAAAATCATACTTGAATATTTGTTGCATCACTACTCGCCACATCAGGTTCAGTCATCGCAAAACAACTTTTGATATCTCCATTCAACAATGGAACCAACCATTTTTCCTTCTGTTCTTCAGTTCCATATTTAATCAAAACTTCCATGTTACCAGTATCAGGAGCTTGACAGTTGAACACTTCAGGAGCAAAAATACTTCTTCCCATGAGTTCACAGATATGTGCGTATTCCAAATTTGTCAATCCTTTTCCATATTTCTGGTCTGGATCGATATGCTCAGAAATGAATAGATTCCATACTCCCAATGTCTTAGCTTTCTCTTTTAGTTTCTCGATTTTTGGATTAGGAATTGTCCATCTATTTTCTCCTTCTTCGTAGTATTCCATTAGTTCCAATTCGAGTGGGATGACATCGTTATGGACAATATCTCGAACGATTTCATAATATTTTTGAGCTTTGGGCGACATTCCAGATGGGATGATAGTCAATTTTCCATATGATTTTGAAGCGTGAAGTTTTGAAATCATTTGGTTTCCCTCTGATGCAAGTTTCCTTACTAATGGTCCCAACATGGAAGCTTCTGTGGACGATGCATTCTTCAGCTTTGATCTCATATAGACTCCTTGAACAATACTTGCAAATCGAAACACGACAAACGCCATGTAATAAGTCCAGATTTCAGGATCAACAACAGGAGTATTCGTATATTTTGCATACAATTCAAGACATTCTTTAATGGTTGGAATGCCCATTCGATGGAGATCTGATTCACTGTGATCCCCAATTCCAGGGAGAAGTTTCAGTCTATTGGGAACGTAGTATACAAACAGGAACGTTGCCAAATCGGAGAGTGGATCGCCTATTGTTGATAGTTCCCAATCAAGAATTCCTTTTACTCTGATTTCATTCTCTTCAAGAATCAAATTATCCACTCTGAAATCTCCATGAACAATTGTGGATTTTCCACTTTTAGGAAGATTTTCTTTGAGGTATGCTTTTAGTTTTTCCATCTCCGGAATCTCTTCTGTTTTGGACATTTGATAAGCATCCGACCATCTTTTCAAGTTTCTCGACATGTATCCATCTGAAAAAGCTACAATAAAATGGAACGCCTATTTTCGTTCTACCAGATCTTCCAAAATCTTTAAGTCCGACTTTCTCATAGTTGACAGAATGAATAGTAGCCAATGTTTTTAAAGCTTCTTCATAAACTTTTCTTCTCTCAGGAGCCGTCAATTCAGGTAGAGATGGATTCAAGAAGATTCTTCCTTTCTGGTACTCCATCAAATAGAATGGAGTGTCAAGAGTTCTGAATTGTGAATTTCTGTTTGCTTATATGAAATTTTGAAACTTACTGTTCATCATACAAAATTGTTTTGGGCAATGGAACAAGTCCTTGTAGAGCATTCATAATTTTGTACTCTCGATCCACTTGATGAGCTTTTGGAAGAAGATTTCCATTTGGTTTCTTTCTGAGAACGTATTGAGAACCTTTGATTGTTCGGATGTAGTACGTTGGATTGGATTGACCATGTCTAAACTTTTGAATAGCCGTGACTATGTTATCAGATGAAGTTCTTCTGGTGATAATGTCATTGACTTTTTCTACAGGAAGTATTTCTCCTGAAAATAAATTCAAATTAAGAAATTAATCAAACAAAAACTATTTATATGTTAGCAAACAATGTGTTAGTATAAAATCTTGAAAAAAGTCAATTACTTGGAATGCAATCCCTTGTCTCTGGTGGGAACGAAAAATCTAATTTCAAGATGTTTCCTAGTTCCTGGATTGCTTGTTGACTATTCGCTACTTTGATTGTAGTGATTCCCATAGCTCTCGCTGGTTTGAGATTTGGTCCAAGATCGTCGAGGAAAACACATTCCGATGGTTGAAGCTGAAACATCTTGTTGGTAATGTGACCTTTAAATTCATATAAAAACCTTATTTCTTTCAAGAGCCAGCTCATAAATTTTGGTTTCTGGTTTGCGAAGACCAAGACGACAAGATTCCAGAACGTCATCGAAAAGAAGCCCGACTTGTGGAGGAATAGTTGGAAGAAGTCTAGCACGATCTGTGTAGAAGTTGTTGGTAATGAGAATGGTACGGTAACCAGCAAGACGTAGAGACTTCACCAACTCAACCATTTCAGGGAGAAGAGTTGAATGAGCGATTTGACCGCTAATTTCCGCGAAAATAGGAAGAACATCACCAACTCTGTTATTCTAAAAATAATCTAATATTCTCCTCAATACTGATTTTTCTGTAACCTGAAAATTGTATATATGAGTGAAAAGTGGGTCCAGATCCTCTGATGTGAGTTGACCAATTTCAAACAATTTGAAATGACTGTAAAAGTCATTGCTGAGAATCGTTTCAACAACCGATCCAGATCGAAGATTGTGGGCAGATTCCACAGCTGAACACTCGTTTTTCAAATTCATTTTGGTTCTTTTTTCAACTCACTCTTCCAATAATGCATCGGTGCGGGTAGTAGTACTCCGCCCATGTCAAAAATTACAGCTTTGATGGTCATTTTTTGATTCAGAAATGAAATGGTAACTCGTAGTAAAAGTGGAAAGTGATCAAACGAATCGGTAAGAACAAGAATTGAAAAACACACGAGCGATGCCAAAGAAAACGGTCAATATGATAAGGAAAACAGAACAAGAAGGTACATTGTAGTCCAGAAGAGGAGTGTGACTTATTACAAAAGGATTGGGTAGAAATGGGTAGAGTGTGGTTTTGATTTGATTTTTGAGTTCAAAATTGGAACATCGGGAGTAAATAGTAATCAGAATTTGACAGAGCAAGAGCATTCCAGAGGAAAAAACTAACAAAAAATTGGCTCGATAATTGAGATTTTTCAGGAATCGGAATGTCTAACATTTTCAGGAATCGGAATGTCTAACATTATTGAAAATTTCAAAAATCTGGAAAAAGTCGAATACCGTAAAACCTCTAATAGCAACGCCAGCCCCTCTATTTTTCCAAGGAAGGTACCTCCGAAGGGAAAATTGGTTCATTTCACCAAAATTGAGCAAGTTTTTGACCAAAAAAGAGTTTTCAACATATTTCAGTAAAACTGTGAAATTTCAGGAATATTTTTACTGAAAACGTAAGGAACTTTTTTCTTGATTAAGCAGTATTCTGAAGGGGGCCTTCTACTACAGGAAAGTCTTTTATTTTTCCAAGTCGCTCTCCTAAAGCCCTAGTATTAGAGGGGCTTTCTAATACAGGTTTAACGCTACTAGAAACCTTGTTCTTGAACTACCCAGATGCAATGTTACATGCTTCCTAGATTCTATTATATTTATTCTCTCAATACTCTCTTCATATTTCAGAAATCGTTTCATGATCTTCTTCCTCTGAAAGCTCCGATGTTTGGCCACATTTCAATTTATACCCCTCTGTGACCTTCGACCCTGAAACTTTCAATTCAACCATTTCAATTTCCCATCTCCGGTACAATCCAACAACATTTAATTTTACTTCTCCTTGTGCACATCTTGCTATTCCTTCTTCAGCTTGTGCTTCAATGCAATTTATATTCAGAGGAAGAACCCCCTTTTCTCTATTTCTAGTTGTGGTGTCCGTCGATCTGGGTCCAGCGGTCATAATTAAATTTACGTTCCATTCCTTCAACACAAACATGAATCTTTACATTTTTCATGCATCATTTACGTCATTTGTATTTTTTACCAATATTTAGTTTAAATCAAATCATTTAATCCGTTTTAATTCAAGTTCAAAAACCACGGAACATTTCCGGCGACGTTTTTGATATTGAAGTTTCGGGGGGCACGTGGGCTCAAATTACTGATTTTCGAACATCAGCCACCGGAAATTAAAAATAAAATTTACGGGGTCATGTGAAGTATTTATATGGTTTGAGTGAAATAAGCACCAAATCAAAAATAACAATTTGATCAAACTTTTATCATTTCCGGTAATTTTCTTTTTTCAGAATGGAATAAATCAATTATTCGGGTAATGCTCAATGAATATAATCCTATTCTAATTCCCCCGCAGAATCATTTTTTCGAGAGAATAAAGTATGAGAAGCGTTAGAAGAGAATTCTCACCAGAAACGCATTCCAAACTCTTTTCTTTTGAATTGATAATTTAATGGGTGGGAACGAATTCAAAGTTTGAGTCTTCACAAAAGAAATTCAATGAATTTCGTAACGAATTTAGAGTTCAGTCCTGAAGACATCTCGACTTCTCAGCTGACCATTTGTAATTTAAGCCCTCTCTTCTCATCAGACTTCCCCATTGCGCATCACTCGATTTCTGACCACTTCACACAATTTTTTCTCCTAATTTTAGACGGATGTTCCCCATTCAAAAACAGACGATGTCGTCTCGCGACGAATGAGCAAGACTAAATAATTTCTGTTGAAAACTTTCCCCGACTGCGTCACCAAAAATAAATAGAAAGTCTCAAAGTTCCTCCGAATGATCAGGTATGCACGTTTTAGCTGCATATCATATTGAATAGATAAAGAGTAAACGATTAAGTGATATCAGAATATTTGGGTCGGAGGACCACGAGATCTAGCAGAGATCTAAAAATATTAGAAAATTCGTGGGTTGAAATTTCGAATTCATGACTGCTTGAAGTGGCTCAAAAGACATGGCTTCGATTAAATATTTTTCAAGATTTGAAAATTCAAATGTCTGAATAAGTCTATGATTCTGAAAATATTCGATTGTCGTAAAACCTGTATTAGGAGTGCCGACCATATTTCCCGAAAGTTTTCACAATAAAATTATTTGAATTCATGTTTTCATTTCATAAAAAAACGACCAATTTCCCTAAACCTGTGTACTACAACAAGTTTCTGAAATTTTAAAATTTCCGGAAAAGTTTTCCACTGAAATTGTACGGAAATTTTTAATTCCAAACAACTCATTTTGAAGGTGGTCAGTCCCTTTCGGAGGGCACTTCCATTAGAGAGGACCTTCTATTAAAGTGACCCTTCTAATAGAGGTTTTGCGTCATATCTACAGTAACTCGATCCCGGATATTCTACACCTCCCAACTATTTGCATCTTTATGAGCATCTTCATATGTTCCCTAAAAAGCAATAAACTTCGCCCCCCGCTTGAGTCGTCATCAATCCCACATATCAAATATCCGCCAAATGCTAATCCATTAATTGTGCTCTCGACCCGTCTTGAGATTAGTCTACCTCCTATTGTCTGTTTTTTTTTCGAAGAAAACGTGATTGTGTCATGAAGTACCTTTGAATTGTCTGCTCGAAAACCAAACATCACAGTACTTTATGAATGACAATTCTGTGAGGAAAAACGCGGTGGCGGCTTGATTCAAGTTCTGTTCATTAATCCCTTCTCGATGGTTCAATATTGATAGCTTCTGTTTGTATCGGATACGATATCCGAGAAATATTTTGCAGGTGTTCTCTCAATTTGAGGGATCATCCTCGTTATTAATGAAAACTGTAAAATATTTAGGTGAGCAAGATGAATAACAAAACGTGCAAATCCCAAAATTATGATAAATCCAAAGCCTCACATTTCCATAGATCCTTATTCGACACAATATCTGAATGAATCCTTGTCGTTCCCTTTAATTTTGTGGGTATTCAAAATTTTGATTTTTTGGATTTCCGACAAGAGACACGTACACAAAAAGTTGAAAATCGGGGAGGAAGAATAATAAAGAGTAGAGTGTAAAGATTGCGACTGGGATTTGGAGACAAAGAAGCCAAAAAACAGAAACAGAGAAGAGTGACTAACATAGTTAGAGCTTCTATATAAATATTGAAGACCGAAAATTTAACACTAATCAAGACCTGTTAAATGTAGAATTCTAGTTTGATCCGTCTGAAAATAAAAACTAAAAAAAATATCGTATACAAGTTTAGAATGGCATAATTATTTTTTTTTCGTATTTTATAAATTCTATGAAAAGTCTACCCCATGATAACCAATTGATGGATCAGGTCAAGGCTATGCCACGGCCGGCCGCGGAATTCTGAAAAGGGTACTTCCGAGATAGGTAGGGTACGGCGGCCTAGCGGCCCTAGTAATTTCTGGGTAGCTGAGCTTACTTTGCTCAAAACTTAGGCAGTTATTATCTTTTTTTCATTATTGCTCACCCTTCGCCAGATCAGTTTTCCCCAGAAGGACAATTACCGTAACACCTGTAATAGAAGAGCCTCCATACTGTCAAGTTTGAGCTCAATTATCTCAATACCGATGCATGATATGAATAATGTCTAAACTTATAAAATGTGTGTGATAATATGATGAACAATTTATCAGTTGACCACTTTTTTATATCTTTGACAGGAACCGAGAAAAATTTGCTCGTAGTAATAAGTTACAGGGCGCTTCTATTACGGGATATACGGTACTTCATTCCTTGGGAAAACTTTTATTAGTCAACCAGATATTGCCAAAAATGTCCTGCGAAGATGCTATTATTTCTATCACTTCAGTATATGTTTTCTAGAAATCCAAATGAGGAACTGAACGTTTCCTCAAATAACTCCGCAATTCTGACCATCAAAAAAGCGTCAGTTTTCTTTTCTCCGAGAATTTAGCGATTTCCTGCTATTGATAGTACAAAACCATCCAAGATTTCTTAAACTTCCATTGAACTTTTGTTTTTCCCTTTTCCAAAACTTTCAAATGTCAAGAATCTTGAGTCTATTTCTTCCTTTTTTTTCTTCAAGATAATCTGGGAAATCTGGGAACTTGAGAAGTATTGGATCCTCTTTCCTCATTTCATCTACATTATTTTCCCAATAATTATGAATTATTCGATTATTTACGAAACAAGTGCAAATCTATCTAGTTATATTTGTAGTTTTACCCGGATTCTCGGATTCTCCCACACCCTTTCGTCACATACATTTTCCCATCACGCATGTACATTTTCAAGATTTTTCTGCATCCATATTTATATTTAGATCTCAGGATCTCAGAAAGGCTCTTTCTGCCAACTATATTCTTTTTGTTTAATCCTTTCAAGGATCAACACAATTATATTGTCTATGCACATCATTTTCATCTGCTAACACAAAAGTGTTTTCTGACTAGAATATCTTTTTTGAGGAGGCGAATGACGTGAGTGGAGCGGAAAAAGTGGGCTAGGAATAGGATTTACTTCAACAATGTGGGTAGATTGAATCTTGTTCCGGTAGTGTGATAACAAGATAACAAGGTAGTGATTGTAGTATCGTGGTTTATCGAAAACAACTGGCTACAGTAGTCCGCTGATATTGAACTCTTTCTGAAGAAAGGTAAAAGATATTCAATTGACTTGTTCTAAGACTTTAAAAAAAAGCAGAGAATTTTTCGTAGTTTTTTATGAGTTAGGGTTTGCATTCTGACGCAACGGTGTACTGTACCGAGTTTAGTGTTCAGCGGTGAGCCCACAAGTCCAGCTTCTCTTAACGTAATTTCGAGAAAACTATTTTTTTTTCATGTTCCCCATCTTTAAGACCAGCCTTTCTGTCTTATCTAAATCTGTTCCAACTAAAACACTGATATCGATATAGTCTGTAAAACGACAAGATTAATAGAAGAGGAGTAGGAGAATCCTGAGAATATGTTGATACTACATACATGTGTTTTTTGACTCATCCCCTGCCTCACTTGTTTGTTTCTTTTTCTCTTCTTCTTCTTATCAGTTCAATTAAAATTAATACATGTCACATGTTTCTATAATTCAATCTCTTTTCTAATTCCTCGCACTTTCCTGGATCCATTAATGGGATTCGTGATGGGTGATATGATTTGGGGCAAACGAAAATAATAAATATTTGATTAGGAACTGAATGTTTTTTCCGGAAGTCAAGACCAATAGGAAGTAAATATATGCAGTGTTTTGGAAGATTTAGTGCTCCATCTGGTTGCAAAGTCCTAATGTCGTGTCACACGGTAGATTCTAGAATTCGGAAATTCCCAAAAAGTTAGTGCGTATAGTGAGAAAATACATTCGTAAATCGTCCGTGTACCAGACAATATTTGTATTTTTTCTCTCTTTTCACCAGAAGTGCGATACGTCGTTTTTTAGGAATGAATCACATTCGGCTTAAGCCCAGCACAATGATCAAAATAAAATCTGGGAAAAAGTATGAATAAAAAGAAGCCCGTGGATTTGGCTTGAACTCATGGCGCACCCACTTTCCAGACAACATTTCCAAAATTTTCTGACTTCGAATTTCAACAGGAAACGAATGACTTTTTGGCTGCAGAACATGTGTCATCCGTTTGATAACGAAGTTTAAGTAAAAGCGATAAGCCATATTAGCCTGTGACTCCTTAATGTTTCAATTTTCAAAAACAGGAAGTGTCGTAATGTCGGAAAGAGTTCGAACACTTTATTTTTCTAGACATCTCACATTTGAATGTCATTGAAAGTGTGAGGGCGTCTTAAGTCATTGTCTACAAAATGATTAACTGATTCAATAATGAATAGATGAACTGAATTTGTTTGAAAGAGTATGATTGTGCTGAACCAGATCAGCAGTAGTCAGAAACAATTTTTTGAACCAGGATGTTTTCGAATCATGTCGAAATCTCATTCTGACACCTAATGCTTTGTTTGCCAGATTAGTAAACGTGCTTGTCATTGAAACGTAGGAGCTTGATCTCGGCTCTTCTTTGGATCAGTTGATAGGATCGCTTAGCCAGTCTGATGTGAATAAATCCAGTGTGACAAAATCTAATTCTTTAGTCACCCACATTTCATTGAAATACGTGACTTCCGTCTATGGTATATTGTTCCAAAGTGTCTCCATATATGTTTATTTTTTTCTTTAATTCAATAGACTTTTGATGTCTCAAAACAGCATCAAGATCTTTATAAAACTTGTTGTTGCTCCAATTTTTGATCGTCTAGTTGAAATTGTCTGAAGTAATAGAATTAGAAATCTTTTGAAATCTATTATAGTTACATTATAGCAGCAAAACCTATTATTCATTATTCATATTCTGCTTGATCGTTGGTATACTAACCCACTCTTCCTCCAAAAAAGAATAAAATGACAAATTCGTCTCAAGCGGGGAAATGAGTAAATTAATCTGCTTCTCCTTTTTTCTGTTAGCCTTTTCTTTTGGTTTTGAGACAATTAGTAATGATCTGTTTCGAAAAATGACGAATTTGTAATCTCAAGGTCTTCCATTTCCCAAAATAAACTGGAATGATTTCGAAAATCGTCAAATTTCGGCTGGCCTATAATTATGGTTTGGCCTACACTTTACTTTTAAAGGGCTTCTGATTTAGAATTAGTTTTGAACTGTGTCTTGTCACCAACTTTAAAAAGTTCTTGAAAATCAGGGTCCAGTCTGGTCCGGCCCGACGGGCCAGAAAAAAAGAAAAATCCTCATTTGAAGTTAATAGTCTGTAATCTAAAATCACAGAAAGTTCCAGATTTCAGAGTAAAGGCTATAATCTCATGAAATAGAAATTCTAACTTTCTTTTTCTGAGGTTTTAACGAGCTTATCTAATACTTACCACTCTCCTCGACCCCGTCTACTCGTTTTATTTTTGAACCCCGCAAATTAAATTCAAGGTAAAAGTAGTCACGTACACAGTTATTAGGTTATTCAGAAATCATATTCATTCAATTCATTCAAAAGCCCAAAAAATTCAATCTATCCTAGGTATTTTTGTTTTTCACTCCCGTTCCGCTGAATATGGTTTTTCATGGTATTAATAAATGCGAGAAAATGAAAAAAATAAATGCGAGATAATGAAAAAATTGAAAATTGAATTGAATTATAGTGAGTAGATTCTCGAATAAATAGGCAAAAAATAAGAATCGAACAATGGGTTTACGATGAGAAAAATGAATAAGGAATGCATCTTTAAGGTGCCAACAGAAAAAATATAAATATTATGACTGTGAAATGAAAAATGAAAGAAAAAAAGAACATAAATAGAGGAAGCAGTGTTCTTGAAGTGAAGTACTTCTACACAAAATTTTTTCTCTATTTTCTTCTTTTTCATTTTGTACACCTTCCACGAGAATTCTTTGGGATCAAGGGCCCAATTGTTTCGTACTCCTGCACGGTGATTTTTCCGGATCGTTTTTTGAAATAAAATTTTACTACACTTTTTCCGATGGAATGCAGACACAAAACCGTAAGACTCGGTAGTTCAATTTTAAGCTTTCGCGTCGAGACCAACACCTCTGCACTCTCGTGCATTTACACGAAGTTCCGAAAAAACCGCCGGTCGTGCGCCTGGATGCGAAAATGTTCAAAGCTTTATTTCGGAATCGCTCAGTTCCCTGACCATTACTGATAGCGTAATTCCAGACAGATTGATTTACAGCCGTTCAGGCTTTGTCCTTTCGCTCAAGTGTAATCTTGCAAGGTACTGTGCAAGCTCTATATCCGATTTTCCATGAATAGAATATAGTGATTCTTCTGTTTTTTTCTTCAAAAATCTGTCTGTGAAAATAGACCGAGTGGTTGATTTCACCAGAAATAATGAAAGGTCTCCATTTTTCGAAGTCGTCACTTTTAACGTTATTTATGTCCTTTCCCAGTGACATAGTTTCTAAATTGAGCCTTCTACCTCATGATTATCTTGATATATAAGTTAGATTCTCCCACAAAAAACGCGTCATGGGAACCAAGTGCGTGTTTCTAAGAATTACTCAAGTTGTACTGGGGTTCTTCTCTTTTTTAGGTTTTCAAACGATGACCTATACCTGATCAGACGTCTGCTACACGTCCCAAGAGTCATTAGAAAGATACTCTTCTTCTTGTTGTAGTATTCCCAAAAAAACGTCACGTATCAGACTTCTTTCCCATAGAGTCTTCCTCATTCTCGTTATCTTTTCATAAATACCTCCCAATTGTGTTAATCATCATTTTTCATCATTTTTCTTCTTCCCATATCAGATCTCTGTTCTTCCTCTCTCCTCCCTCTTTTATCCTCAATCCTCATCCCAAATCCTTTCTTTCGTTTTTGCCACACACACAAACTCATATGCTCTCTTCGCTCTCTCTTTTTTTTAAGCTCCGCCCCTTTCCCCCGTTCCGCCCCATCTTTTTTTCTGTCCTCGCCCATTTTTTCTCCCATTACCACCGTGAGATGAGATGATGTATGTGTGTGTGGAGTGGTCGGAGGACAATCTTCAGGTGAAACCAGATTCTGAATTTCGGCTTCTGTCTGTTTTAACATACTACCATACCCCCCCCCTCTCTCTTCCTCCGCAATTTGTCCTTTTTTCTTCTTTTTTTATTCTATTAGACACAGACAACTACTACTTCTACTATACTACAATTTTTCATATTTGATTGTTCATTTTTGGTTTTAGTCGAACAACAAGGCACATACTCTTTTCTTTTCTTCTTCTTTTCTAACGAAGTGTGATTCATTTCAACGCAGTTCCCAGGAGAGTGAAAATTGAAAGATTGTGAGAAGTATTTCTCACTTGACTCTCTCTCAGCTGCTGCCCTTTTTTTTACATAATCAACACAGAGACCTACTCAACTTCTAGAACTTTCGCTTAGTTTCTTCCCTCTTCTTCCGTTCCTTTTTTGCTGTAATTTATTCAGAATATCAATCTTTACCCTTCCTTGTTTCAGCGTTTTCCTCCTCTTCCAAGCCTTCAAAAACCTTCAAAAATGACCATTCTTTTCTCAAAAATGACTGGAAATTCTCCACAAACCAACGGAACTGCTCTTGGTGTTCGGATAATCGGAGGATCGTTCCTTTGTCTTTCCATCATTTCCAGTGTGATTGCCTGCGCCCTTTGGAATACAGAGAACCACACCCTTGGAAATAATATCTTCTACTACGGTAAGTAGCAAATGGACTACAAACCTTTGCAATTCTTCAATTTTTTCAGTTGGATTGTTTGCTACACAAATGCTCAACATTCTTATTGTATACTTGATGAATAGAGGAATCACTTTGCAAAAAGCTCATTATCTTCAACCATTCATCATTTGCGCACTTCTTCACCTCATAATATGGTTCGTTAGCTTTTCAGCAGAGTTATTTTGGTAATCTTATCATAAGAAACTGTACTTTCTCAATCATCGGATTAGCTTCCGTTTGTCTGTTTTTGAGCGATCCAAATTATGTCATAACACGCATTTCCGGTCGACGTTTTATTATTCTTATTTGTGTTTAAAAATCCTGACGTCCCTAATTTCAGCATTCTCCTCTCGGCCATCTTCTTCCTCTACGTCGTCACCCGAGCCACGTTCTATTCCGTCTGGTCGGATCTCGGCTTCTTTTTCGTTTTTGTCATCTTGACTGGCTTCTGGATCATTGCCATCTCGTTGGCACGCGAGTACCGAGACTACGTACGTGTCATTTCGTTTTCACACTCTGAATTGTATAATGAGGAGGAGGAGGAGGAAGAAGAAGTAGTCATTCCAAAAACCGTCTAGACTTCTTTTTCTGGACTTATGAACTCTTGAATTATTTCGAGTGAATTTTAAACTGCCCCTCTGTTTCGGAAAACTCCATAACCTCCGTGTCTCCTTATGTTTGAAAGCAATAACCCCTGGCTTCATTTCTGTTGTTAACCATCTGCTTTTTTAGATCATCTACGACGATTTCCTCCACGAGACATTGCCAAGCTTCGTCTAAATGTTCTAACTCGTCGTCCGTCCTCGTCTTCAAAATACACGTCCTCGTTTTCGGGTCAATCAAGGCGTCTTCTGTTATTTTTTCGTTCTCACAGTTTCAGTTTTGCTTTCATTTAATCCGCGTTTCCACTCAACACTATGTGTTTCTCTCGGGTCTTCTTTTTTTCTGTTTTTTTTTCTGATTTGTTGCTTAAATTGCAAATAGAAGTATCACAAGAGCTCATCAGGATGAATTTAAATAAATTCTTTTTTTTTGTTTTTTTTTTCAAGAAAACATCAAATGATTTTTGAGGATGACACGATTGTAGCTGCCCGTTCGATTCCCAGAATTCGTTTCATAAAAGAAGGATGAATATCTCGATTGTAGACCATCATAACGAACCTGAAATATGATATTAAGAGGAAGTAAAAATACGGGATCTATGATAACAAAGACCATCAATCTAGGAGCTTCCGTCATCTTTAATAATACCTTATTTAGCAAAAAAAAATGGAACAACAGATTTTAAAATTTCCGGGAAAAAAAAATGCGTCATGTTAAAAAATTTTGAAAGTAAAAACACTAGTTTACTGTGTTAGATCCAAGAATCACAGGGTTCTGTTGTGGTATGATTTTTTTTTATTCAGAACGTGGTGTGGCGAAGTTTTAGGTCCGTGAGGAATTAATTTTGAGGTGAAAAATCAGCGAAAATTGCTAGAAATCATAACTTTTAATGGCTTAAAACTTCGCCAACAGTAACCAGAGCAGTCCAAACCCTGTGAAAATTATTCGTTCTCAAGGAATTCACAATTTTCAAAGGAAATCGACCCTCTAGTTATTTGTTTTCATTAACGATGCGTGTCTCATTAATGACCATCAAAGAGCAAAAGTATTGGTATGTGTCAGAGAATTATTCGGCTCAAAGAATATTTTGCCTAGGTCGAAGCTCTAAGCACATCGACTCGAATAAACATTTATTCTCTCCCAGTGACAAACCCGTCAAAAACATGAATTGTGAGCCACACAACGGACATGCAAATGAATTGGAACCAGAGAGCGTCGTTGAACTTGTAAATGACTTGACATGCGAGCATGTGCAAGCAATCCTGAGTGACGCTCTGCAAAAAGAAATGATTTCTAAAGATTGCATAAATTGAAAGATGACCTGGGCAAACATGAGCTTTCGTTTTTTGCCAAGGTCCGCATTTTTAGATATTGATACTACTGAGCTGTTTTTGATCTGGAAACAATTTATTGCTTGTTATGTCAAATAGCTGTGTTCAGTACTTTCATCAATTTTACAAAAGTCGCAAGGTTAGCAGAATTGGAAACAATGGAAACTGAGATAATAAAGTTGAATAGCTGGTCGGCATGCCTGGTTGCACATTCCGAATTCTCGGGCATCCACGACACTAACTCAATTGAGTAGATGTAGCCGCAACCTTCTGGAAATGCACTTCCGTGTATTAAATGGAGAATAAAGTGTTTTCTTCTACGGAAAACTAAGAAACTGGAAAGCCGTAAACACTGGATAAGATGAAAATCGACGTCAGGCACATCAGACAGTTCTGAAGAAATATGTTGCAAATGAAAAAAAAGTGAATACTTACTCGAATATTGAGAATTTTATTGTTTCTGTTGGATGAAAAAGGAAAGTAAGTCACAGTAAACCTGTTGAGAGATAAGCAAACTTGTATACAAATTCCTGAAATGTTTTCCAGTTTCTTTTGATCTTTTCATTCTCTATTTATAAATGTCCTTCTTAAATATTTCAAGCTGAACCTGTAATATAAGCTCCCCAACCAGCAAGTTGCCCCCACAAAATATTTGCCCAATATGGAAGATAATATAAGTTTCTGGAAATCAAAACAATATTTCTTTTTCTATTTCAGTCATGGCTCTCACAATAAAGTACACGGAGCCGACCACATCAAAAACGCTGCGCAAGTGATCAAGTTGCATATGGTCTTTGAGATGCATAATTTGTAAAAAATGCTCAGAAGGCCTTTTTTCGTTGTCAAAGCATACAAAACATAAGCATTCACAACGATTCCGAATAATATGTATTTTGCCGTTCTAGCGCACCTTTTCGCCCATCCTCAATTTTCTCATTTTCAAGCCATTTTAAGGCTTATTTTTAACATAAACAAGTCTTACCTCTTCATAAATGTGTAATTTTCAACAATTTTCAAAAATGGTAAAAAGGTCGAAACGCGCTACCTTGAAAATGTGGTCGAAATCCAGTGGTCGAGATGGGCGAAAAAGTGCGCTAGAACGGTGAAAAAAAAGCTAAATAAATGAAATTTTCAAAAAATCTTAAACCTCTTACAAATTATGATCTTGAAGAACTTGTAAAATTATTGAAGGGGGACTCCGACCAGAAATTTTTATTGCATTAAAATGTGTTAAAATTTATCTATTTTTCAAATATTATTGCGAAAAATTCAAAGAAAATCCGAAATCCCCGAAAAACGGCGTTGAAAAGGAGGAAAATTCAAAAAAAGGTGCCGCCGGGGGACGAGGATTTTCAGTGAGAAACCTAGGCCACAGCACCTGACAGCCTTTTTTTCAAGTCGCCGACAGTGGTTTTTTTACGTTTTTTACCTGCCGGACATGAAATTGAAAAAAATCCGGAAAATTTGCCACATAGGAAAGGCGCCCGCTGCCGTGGCCTAGGTTTCTCACTGAAAATCCTCGTCCCCCGGCGGCACCTTTTTTTTGAATTTTCTTCTTTTCAACGGCGTTTTTTGGGATTTCGATTTTTTTTGATTTTTTCGCA